GCAATATATATTTTTGAAAGCATTCTTACTTTACAGCATTTTTTCACACCTGTCTAAAACTTTTGCACAGTACTGTACATTTATTTGCGACCATAGGTTTTAACAAAATTTGTATAAAATTACAACAATCCATATCAATCCAATACATCCCCCCTAATATTAACAGCACTATTTGTCAACATCTGCTTTTGTATCTTCCTTGCGGCCATTGCAGACAATGTAATGTTGTTTTGTTACATGTTCATCTACATCAGTCAACAGAAAATATATTTTTTTCTTCTAAACTAGACTGATTCAGTTGGATTAACAAAGCATGATGAATTTAGCTCTAGGTTCCTGATATAATTTGCAATGCAATAAGTAATGAATCAGATCTTCCACCTGTGAGTTATTACAAATGCATAAATGGTGTGTAGTTGGTAATCCTTTATATCTTCCATCCAAATAGGCTGTTGGCACTGTTTGAAAATGTTCTGTGAAAGCTTGCTTTGGAATGGGATGTAAGAGAATGTAAATAATTTGACATTCCTTGTCCATCTTTAAAAGATCAATACCACTTGGCCAACTTGTTCTCTATGTTGTCTAAATCTTTAAAAAATAAGTAGTCCCTCAATAGTGTATGATAAGTTATGTCATTCAACAGTTCCTGATCTAGCGATAATTGTGAAAATAGTTTTAGACACAATTTCACCCATCTATTACTGTTAAATTGTTTGTGGAGGCATTGTTTTGCCAAATAAGTATTGGGCATGAGGACTAGTCTCCTATAATATAAGATTATTGCTTTCTTTACCTGTATATTAACTGACGGAAGGCCCATTTCTAATTTCATCATTGTTTTGCCAAATAAGTATTGGGCATGAGGACTAGTCTCCTATAATATAAGATTATTGCTTTCTTTACCTGTATATTAACTGACGGAAGGCCCATTTCTAATTTCATTGAACATTGCTGCTGGTATACATGGGGGTAAGGCTAAGAATGATCTCACAAATTTATTCTGAACCACCTCTAATTCTTCTAGTTTACTAAAACCCCAAATTGGGGCCCCATATATAAACTGTGAGATTGTTTTCCCCTGGGAGATCTTAAGCGCACGCTGTACTAACCATCCTCCTTTTGAGTAGAAGAAGGAGGAAATAGGTCTCATTGATCTCATGGCTGTTATTCTTGTTGATGTTATGTGTGTTTTCCATGATAGTGTTTCAGTAAACTGGATGTCCAAATACTTAAATGACCTCACTTGTTCTATCTCCTCACCATCTAGTGTCCATCTATATCTCTTTGGTCTTTTAGCAAACATGACTACCTTGGTTTTGGAATAATTTATCTGTAAATATTCTTTCCTAGAATAAGGGCCAAATTCTGTCAAGATTCTTCTCATTCCAATTAATGTTGTCAACATGAGTACCATATCATCTGCATACAGTAATATAGGGACCTTTCTACTTCCAACTGATGGGGCATAAAAGGAAGGATTATTAAGCTCTTCTACAATGTTGTTCATATAAAAATTAAAGCAGAAGGGAGCCAGTATATAGCCCTGGCAGACACGTTTTGTGGTTTTAATCTGCTTTGTTAGAGAGCTGCTCTAGTTTATCCGTACTTGCATGTAAGTGTCTTTTGTATATATATATACACAAAATATATACAATTTATATATTAGGTAAAGTAATCTATCTATATCAGCAGCTAAAAATTTCTCCCATAATTTTCCTCTATTTATTGTATCAAAGGCAGATGATAAGTCAATAAACACTGCATACAGGCATGTTGAGGGGCCATTCATTGATTTGTGAATCAGATGTTGTAAAGTGAAATATTGATCTATAGTACCGTGTCCCTTTCTGAAGCCTGCCTGTTCTGCTATAATCTGCTTAGTATCCACCCAATCAATCAATCTGTTTAAAACATACCTTGTATGTAACTTACACCCTATGTCAAGGAGGCTTATAGGGAGAACGTTAGTGGGGTTTGTGGAATCTCCTTTTTTAAATATTGGAATTACTACAATGTTTTTCCAGCCTACAGGGATTCTCCCGGTGACATTGATATAAGTAAACAAGGAGGCAAGTATAGGAGCCCACCAATCAGGGAATGCCTTAAAAAATTCTGGTGGTAACATATCCTCTCTCAGGGCTTTTCAGCTGTCTGGTGTGAAATTACTCTTTTAACTTCTGCAGCAGTTACTGGGGGCATTTTGATGATGTTTTTAGTGTATCTGTAGCCATTAACTGTTGGTTTGATATTCTAATATCCTCAAATTTATTTTTTAAAAAAGCCATCCAAACTTCTATTTCTCTCTGGCTTTGGGAAACTAGTTCCTAGAATTTTGTATTATTATTTTGTAAACATGACAGTCTTAATTCTTGCCACTGGCTTTTATCTTGTTTACTCCTCCTTATCAGTGCTTGATATTTTTGGCATTTATCCTCACTGCCTTTACCCTATCAAAAGATTTATCCTTCTTAATTTGTCTGACTAGTCTAGCCAATTCCTTTCTTTCATGTCCGCATTCATGGTTAAACCAAAATTCTGGTTTCAGTCATTTTCCCTTGCCACGATTTACACATCAAAGGCTTAAGATTGCCAACCACATCCTTATATATGATATTTGCATTTTCCAGTTTTTGAGTAAGTGTAACCCTCTCCTGTAGCATTGTTGGACTGTATAGCGCTGTTTAGGGCAAGGGAGATATCCGCTTTACAGGTAATCCTCACCTAACAACCACAATAGGGACTGGAAAATTGGTCGTTAAGCAGGGCAGTCATTAAGCGGGTCATCACGTGACTGAATCTGATTGTATTACCTTTTTTATGATGGTCATTAAGCAAATCACATGGTTGTTAAGTGAATCCAGCTTCCCTGATGGACCTTTTTTGCTGGAATTCGCTTAACAACCATTGTAAAAAAGGTTGCAAATCGTGATCGAGTGACTGCAGGGGGTGGTATGACAATTTGTGATGGTCGTAAGTGCAAGTACAAGTCACAAAGCACTTTTTCCAAGGCCGTTGTAACTTTGAACTGTTGTTAAATGAACAGTTGTTAAGTGAGGACTACCTGTAATCATTTTTGATTCTTTAAAATGCCTTCTATATTGTGCTACCTTATTTCCACATATCCACCTTAGGTCCAAGCCAAGTGGTAAGTGATCACTCTCTGGTCTATCTCTGATATCAAAACACTGTACTGATGGGATCAATGAGGGCAATATGAATATATAATCAATGATAGCCCCCCCCCCCGTGGCTGACTGATGTATAAGAACCCCCAGATTGGTCCCACTGTGATCCATGTAAACTGACCATTTGTAATTGATACATTAATTTAAGTAGTTCTAGTCTGGGCTTATTCTGAATCTTATTGTGTGACATACAGTGGGGCAAAAAAGTATTTAGTCAGCCACCAATTGTGCAAGTTCTCCCA